GTTCAGCTGGACCTCTGTTTTCTTATTCTTATGCTATGCTGAGCTTCTCTTGGACCAACTGTCCCTCTGATTGCTATGATGAACTCTTCTCTATAGACGTTACTTTTAGGGAAATCTTGTAACATTCTTTGGCTTCTTTAGGATCCCTTTTAATTTCTTGGATACTTGTAGGGAACTTGATGACTTGATGATAAGTTGATGGGATAGCTTTCATTTCATGTATCCATGGTTTGCCCAGAATCATATTGGAGGATGACAAAGTGTCAATTACTAGGAACTTGACTTGCAGATTAATTCCTTTTGCATAGGTTGCCAATGTAATTTCTCCACTTGTCTTCTTGGTCTCTCCACTGAAAACCCACTAAAACTGTTGACCTGTGGACAACATTCTTCTCGTCGATGTTCATATTTTTCAGGGTGTCGAGCATAATGATATTTGCTGAACTTCCGTTATCAACAAGGATTCTCTTTATCATGCAATTTCCTACTAGGAGCGATATCACTAGGCCATCATGATGGCCTTCCACTACATCACTTTCCTCAAACATGATTGGGATGTCCATCTTTGACCTTGCTTTCCTATCGGGCTGATCCATATGGCTTTCTTTGGCATGGCGCTTTGCTACTGAATATGTTAACCCCCACACTTCTGACTCTCCTGATATGAAGCAGATTGTCCTTGACTATTAGAGGAGGAGGCGGGGGTCTACCTTGCTGGGACTCTTTCTCCTTTCTTGAGATTTTGGACCTATTCGTCAAGAGTTCTTTAAGATAGCCTTTCTTCAACAGGTATGCAACTTTCTTTCTGAGCGCGACACATTCATTAGTTGTATGGCCAATATCTGAATGAAAATCACACTATCTTGAGGGATCTTTCTTCTCTCTTGGCCTTCACTCTTCCTGGGCCACTACACGGTATCTCCCATCTTGTTTAAGGTTCTTATTACACCTGCAGGGTTAACATTGAAACAATATTCATGCAATTTAGGTGGGAGTTAAGGATCTTTCTTCCAATATGAGAATTCTTCTTCGACATCATTAACGATCATACATGTCCGGGTCTGTTGTTCCATCATACATGTCCATATTGGGTGTGCTTAACTCTTTGGCAATCCCATCATGGCGATCTCTTCTAAGAAGGGTGACTCTATGTAGCCGTCTGTCGCCTCTTCCTCCACGGGCTTTGGCACTCCAAGGATCTTTGCAATCTTGGCCTCAAACGCCTTGAGGTATTCCTTGACTACATTTTCTATCTTTCCCTCTTTAGTTCCTTCCTGTTGCTTTTCTTGAATTTTCCTGCAGCAATGAAATCTAAATCCGGGTTGTCTTCCCTACTGCTAGAACCTTTTTTTCCGTTATTAGGGGTATGGAAAGTTCTAGACATAGCAAGTTGCATGGCTATTCTTTCAATGCTCTTTCGGGTGTTAACAGTCTTGGATGCAACTTCTTGTATTTGGCTACGGAGAGCTTCATTTTGTCTAGTTAGGCTACTAAGCTTGGCTTTAGTTTGGACTTTCTGGGCTAACAATGTTTCGATTTGGCTTTTATGTTGGTCTAGGGTTTGACAGAATGCGTTCATTCCTTCATTGATTTTAGATATGGTGAAGGGTACTGGTTGTCCAGTCATGGTGATTGTCTTGGTTTTGATGGGTTAGGCAGGTTAATTGATTATCAGCCCCACGGTGGGCGCCAAGTTGTTTAGGCAAATTTTAGTAAGGTTATTTAGGAATTTGCTTAGGGATTTAGGAGTAATAACAATCAAGCTACAAATATCAAATACAATAACCAAGAACAACAATAAAGCATTAGGTAAATAATTTAATTAAAAGAGATTAAGTTTAGAGATATAATACTGAGAAAGGGCAAGCTTCCTTATTCAGCAAGGACATAGTTCCGAGAGAATAAGTAGAGTAATCAATTTATATTGATGTATGAGTGCGCGTACCTGAGTTTTATAATGTCTAGCTATACTATTTATACCTAGGAACAACTAGGGTTACAAAGATATCAAATATATTCAAGCGTGGGAGATTCTCTTGATTTTATCTTGTTTCCCTGTTCAACAGGTGTATTCTTGGCAAGTATTTTCGTGATTGATATTCTGATCTTGTTTGCTATACTTGTTCCATTCAGGCCGTTTTGCTTAATTTGGTGTATTCTTTGATAAGAGGATGATGCCCTAATTATATTGGGTTGCTTGATAACACGGGCCCAACAACCTGTTAACTAGTGATAAATCAAAAACATGTAGCAAATGTTAGGTGGTAAATAATAGCTTATGATCGATTATCAAATGAGCTCTTAGTATTACTTCTTCACTAAGAGTGTCAAAAACAAACCTGACCAACGTGATTAATCCGAATAAAACTCGATCCAAAAAATTAACTTAATAATTTAGCATTCACCCAACCAGATATTTCTGAGCTCGACCTAAATACCCGAATTAACGCCTTACCCCAAAAGTACAAATCAACACCCCAAAACAGAGAAAAAGAGCCATAGATAGTGACATAGTGTCCTACAAACCCCACGTAAAAAAGTTCACTACTTTTCTCAACACTTTGAAAATCACAACAATAAAAAAGAAAAAAAAAACTTACATCTTTTATTACTTCTTCCAGTTCATTTTAGTTGCAACAATTTCCTTTTTGGGGTGGTTCACTTTACTTGCAACAAATTTTTTTTTCCTTTTTTGGTAAGTTTTTGGGTGTAAATTTACATATTTGCCCTTACTTTTTTACTAGGATTTTTTGACTTTTACCACAAAAAAAAATCTCGAAATTGTTTTTTACTACCAAAAATTTTAAAAGTTTTATTTTACCACCAAAAAAAAATTAAAAATTGTTTTTTACCACCTGCCGTCAAAAACCTAACGGAATATTTTAAATTCTTTGATTTTTGTGTCAAACACATCATATTTGAGGGTCTTGGGGGGCATTTTGTCCCTATGGATCTAATTTGAGGTCGGAATCGACAAAAAATGATCGGAAATGCTTCTTGTTGTCCATTTAAAAATACATCGGTTTGCGTGAAACACGCAAAACGAGGCATTCTCGATTATTTTTTTGTCAATTCCGACTTCAAATTGAATTCAAAGGGCCAAGATGCCCCCCTAAACCTATGAACAACATATTTTGCGCAAGAAAATCGAAGAGTTTTTTCTTAAAACCGTTAAATTTAACGGTTTTCTTGACGGTAGGTGGTAAAAAAACAATATTTAGAAATTTTTTTTGGTGGTAAAATACAACTTTTAAAATTTTTGGTAGTAAAAAACAATTTCGTAATTTTTTTTGGTGGTAAAAATAAAAAAATCCTTTTTACTAACCTATTATATTAACACTCCTAATTTGTTTTACTTAGTTTGATGATTTTATTAATTAATCTAACTACTCCCACCAAATTTATCCCCTCCTCCTTTAAATTGCTTCATCTCCCAACCACCTTCATTGAATCTACATTCAATACTGGAAAATGGTTGGGAGAAATAAATTCTGGAAAATGTTTCTCCTTTCTCTCTCATCATCCTCTGTATTCTCACACCGATTCACCCCATTTCACTCTTCAAATGTCTTCTTCTCAACCAAAAATCATTGATCTCGAAAGCCATGAGTCCCTATCTTCTGGATCTACTCGAACTCCAAAAAAATCTGAGCGAACCACGAACATACCTCGTCGTGGTTCTAGGGTGATGAAGCCGCTCCGTCGCGCTTCTGTAATTGCAAGGAGGAACATTCACGGTGTGAATCTTGCTGAATACATTTCAAGCGACGAGGATGAGAAGCCCATTAAGGTTTCTGGGTCCAAAAGGGCGGTTCCGCCACCTCACATCGCAGATCTGGAGGTAGTGTCCACCAAAGAAGGTGGATCTGCTGCTGTGGTGGTTGTTCTAACTGCTTCACCAGCACCAGACGCCAAATCTGAGACGGGGTCTTCGTTGTTCCAGGAGCTCACTGCTGGAGAAGTTCTCCAGCCACCCTCTTCCCATCCCATGATGGGTGGGAGTGCTTCTAGGTCTGGCGCTGGTAGTAAGCGCTTAAGGGGCTTACCTCCTGGGGGCCAGGAGCCTGATGATGTACTGGAGGCTTACATCCAGATCTACTACCCCCAGTAGTCCCTTCCCCCATACTAATTGGGCAGCGTAATTTCTAAAACTCTAATCTTCTTCTTCAGTTCCAATTTATGCTTGATTATGGTATTCATGAGTCCCCTGTTGGTTGTTATGCCTAATCTGATATTGTTTGTTGGTTGGCTTTGATTTGATGTGTTTCCTTTTATTATTGCATATATTGTTGGTGTACCAGTTGTTGGTTGTTTGGGTTTGAATTGTTGTTTTATAAACGAATTATAGACTCCCCTGATATGTTTTGATATGTTGTTGTGGTATGAGTTGTTGGTTGTTTGGATATGAATTGTTGTTTTGGATTAAAATTGATGAGTCCCCTGTTTTTTTGGATTTGAGATGTTGGTTGTGTGCTTCAGTAACTATGGTTGGAGTATGAAATGGGTTGTGTATGATTTTGTTCCTTGAGTTTCCTGTGTATGATGCATTGAGTCCCCTCTCCCAACTGATTGCATCAAATTGAATCCCATCCAAATGATGAAGGGACTCATCTGATAGCTATTTGAGTGTCATGGCTGCTCTAGTTACCTCTGATTGAGGTACCATAACTCATTGATGCCTTGAAAGAGAAATGTAACCCTATCTGATGGATTATTAGTGACCAAAATAAATTGAGTTTCCATTAATAACAAAAGGTTGTGATTTGTCTCAAACCAAATTATAGTACCATACAAGACTGCCTAACAATGTTTACATTAAGTATGTACCAAAATACACCTAACCAATACCAACAAAAACTACAAAAAACATGTTTAGCTTTTACTGGTTAGATGTGACAGTCTTTGGCTCTGTTGGTTTGAATGTGCTTTCTTATAGTCTTCAATCTGCATCCACTTCCATTTGAAATTCAGTTGCATTTGAACTTGGAATTGTGATTGAATCAAGATAGGAAACAACCTCTGCAATTAATTCCTTGTCTACTTGAAGCAATTCTAGTAGAACACCTTGCCTGTCTAGACTTCTTTTTTTTCATGTGTGGTATTGTGTAGTTGTTTCCTCCTTTTCTTCTTAAGACCTCAACCATGCATGACTGAAGTGTAATCCAACTGTATTTGTTCAACTCTAGATCAAATCCTTTGAATGCTATTTCAACTTCTTTGATTAGATCATCTAAAGTTTGAGGAAATGACTGATATTGCAGTGATTGAATGACATTGAAAAGTCCTAAGTCTAGAACATTCATGTCTAGTGATTGTGCTTGTTGAAAAACAAATTGTATGTTGAATCCATATGCTTGACATGCTTCTTGAAATTCTGCATCTTGTGGTATTTGGTGAGGCCTAGCATTATCCCATTGAATAGTTATGTTTTTGGGAAGTTGGGGTGGCCATTGTTCATGTATTTTTGGCAACACATAATTAAGTAGCATGTCCCTTATTGCTTCCTTGTTAATACTCTGGATTGCCTTAGCCTCAATGGTTCCCTTGTCTCTGTTTTTACTCTTTTTCTTTGCTTCCTCATACTTCACAAAAGGGAAAAGACCATACTTCCCATCATGTAATAATTGTTTGTTTGCATCATATAATGGTTTCCCAATCATGCCCATAAACATAACCTTTATCTTGAACCTTTTGGACTGTTGGGCTTTGTATGGATTGTCTTCAGCTGGGAGGAGGTAGAATGTCCTTGTTTCTGGGTTTATAAAAAACCACTTTTCATCAATGTGTATCCATTGTTGCATGTCTTCAAATGGGGTCCCCTTCTGCTAGAATTGGGGTTATGTGACTTAGAACCCATTTCATTCTTGTTATTTTATGCTGGTCAGTGAGTGCTGGTTTGTTTGTGCTTGTGTGTGTTCTCAATCTACCCCTTTTCCTTAATTTGTGAATAGCTGACTTTGACACATTAAGTGCTGCAGCATATCCTCTTTCAGTTTGTCTTTTGTACAAAGGCACTGATGTTAAGAATTCATCACTGTACTCCTTTTGTTTTCTGCCAACGGTGCCTATTTTTTTGGTCCTTACATCTACAACATTTCCTTGTAACATGTGTTGCTTAATTACCTTAAACCGTCTTGTTGTTGTTGATCTATGCACATGATGCTTTCTTGCCAAACTGGATAAAAATCCCCTTGGCAATAAGTCCCCCTCCATATTGAGCATGATCTCATCAACTAGTTGGCGCTTTTCTTCTACTGTCATTTCTCTGCTTTGTCTGCCATACATATGTAGTGGACTATGTACTTCACCATCATCATCTCCATCATAACCACCTTCTTGTTCTGAGTTGCTGTTTCCATCTTGAGTCTCTTCATCTGTGAAATGATGCCATGCTTCCATTGTTTGCTCCTCATTGTACAATTGATTTTCATTAAAAAAAGAGTTCTTCCAAGAACTCTGCCATGAGTAGCTATATTTTTTTTTCAGGCTGACTGTAGGTGATGAAGTGGTGGCTGGATTTTTTTGGAATGGTCTTCAACGGAGCCAAGAAGAATGGAACATAGATGCTGCTTTTGTCTTTTTAGCACTGTAAATTTTAGGCTAACTATGAACTAATTTTAGGATTATGTAATTTGTAGGATGGTGTTTTGTAAACAATTAACTACTCACCCTTAACCCCCCAACCCCTTCCTGCTATCTCTTTTGCTTGAAAAACAAACTGAAATGTGGTTTGGAAAGTCCTCTTTTTATAAGGGGATATGATTTGAATGTGAAAAAGTTTAGGTTTTGGGGTATTTGGCAAATTTTTTGAATTTTCCTTGAAAAATTGGGAGGGAATTTTGTGGGAACTCAAAAAATTAAAGGGGATTCCCTCCTCAATTTGGCTGAAAAAAGGGAGGGAATCCCCACCCATGTGCAAAGTCAGGGAGTATTTGGGTGGGAAAAGTACACCTCACCATTTTTTCCCACTACTTTTACTTTATTAAAAAAGACCCCATATGCTTTCCCTCCTATTTTACTCCCTTAATTACTTAATCTCCACATGCTTAAAGGCCCTTAAAAGTTTTGCCTAGGTATGCGTAAAATGGTCCTTTGTTGCAACTAAAATGAACCGGAGGTAGTATGTAAATAGAGTTAAGACTTCTAGAGGGCCTTAAACTTTGAAGAAATGTAAAAGTAGGGGACTGCAGTTTCGAAAGTTAATTTTAAGGGACTCAAATCGGTTGTGCAAGAGCACTTACATTAGTGAGCAAAAAGAAAATGCTCATTCTCTCTCTAGCCACTTTCTCTCTCTTCCCAACCAATTTGCTCATGAGCATTTTTGGTGAGGAAATTTTATCCCACTAGTGAAAATACTTGAATTGCTCATGAGCATATTTTATTTTGCTAATTGATGTAGTAACATTTCTACCATTTTTGCTCATCAATTTTGGATGAATGTTGGGGCCCACGAGATTACTGCTCATCATGAAATTTGCTCATCCTATGAGCAAATTCTGAAATGCTCATGAGCAATTTTCATTTTCCTCATTGATGTGGTACCATTTGTACTAAATTTGCTCACCATTTTTGCTCATGAGCAAAAAAATGCTCACTAATGTGAGTGCTCTAAGTGAACTCCATTTTGCTTTACCCTCAATAACCAGATACCCAAATTTTCAATTTTTTTAAAAAAATATACATTCCAGATTACAACCTTCGTCTCAATCCCACACCGCCTCTTACCTCGCGCCACTACCGCCACCGCCCCTGCCCCGCTCGGCCTCACACTTACCGCCTTTGTCATTATCATCACATTCTTTATCTTCCTTTTTTTTTGTTTCAATTCATAATCACCATTAAAAGCTTTAAATTTCGAGGTTTTGATGGTTAAAAATTTAACCTTGAAAACTCTAGATTTTTTCAGGGTTAAATTTAACCAAATACATCTTCGATAAGAAAGAACTCGAACTCATAATGCGGACCCATTATTTGGTGGGTTGACTTCATGTGGGGTTGCGGTGGTTGTGGCGGCGACGGTAGTTGTGTCAGCGGCGGTAATTGCTCATCCGTTATGGGATTCATGCCCGAATTAAATCCCCCTTTGTGATTCCCACTATTGCATTTTTCAGAGAAAATCAAAGAAAACCATGAATGAAGTTTGGGGTTCTAAATTTGTGCGTCGTTCGGGGTGGTGATGGTGTGTGGTGTTGACAGTTTTTGATGGTAGGGTGGTATCAACTGTATTATGTTTCTGTTGCTAGAAAATCTTCTTTTAAATACTTGGATAACGGCTACTTTTGTTTACAAAACTTTTTCTGTTTTTCAATAAAATTAAAAGCTTGTCAGTGATTCAGACCAAAAAAAAAATAATTAAATCAGTTAATATATGGTAACCGGTGGTGGAAGGTTGACGAGGGGAAAACTAGGTCGTTAACTAATCTTCCCTCGGTCAAACTAAATTTATAAACACTTAACAAACCCTAATACGAGTATAGAGGCAAGTCAAGGGTCGAACCCAAAGGAACGGCAATGTTCAAGCACTTTCAATTATGCGCCTAAGCTAGGTCGAAGACGAAGGTAAGAGAGAATACTGACAACTAAAAAAACAAGTAACCAAGGAAATAAAACACTAGGAACGGGGATCAACAAGTAATCATGTCAATTGCAACAACTTGGGAAGAGCATGCCAATCAAAGGTTGTGAGGACTAATGATAAGAGCAATCAATAGGAATCAAAGAGCTATCTCCTAATTGTTATCTAGGGTTCACTATGAATAACAAACTAAGAGAATCACAATCAAAACCAATTGATAATTGCAATTCCTAAATCAATTGTTCATGTCATTAGCAATTACAATGCAATCTAGCATAATTCTCAAGGCCAAATTGAATTACACACATGCAAACCTTCACTAATCACTTTAATCTCAACAATCAATCAACACAATTCCCAAATTAATCACAATTAATCAATCATACAAGTTTCACCCAATTCCTAGCCAAACAACTATTCAAGAATCGTCATCTATCACCTATCAACTATAGAGAACAAGAATCAACAAAATATCAAGAACAATTACTCTAATCAAACATCAAATATCAAAATCAAACCAAACAAACATCAAATTAAACAATGCAATTGAATGTGATAGAGTTTAGAAATTCTCATTGATAATTAAGAAGATCTCCAACACAATTGTCACACTTGCATCTTCAATCTCTCAATCACTATTGAAATTCCTCACTTCCTCTCTCTAAAACTACTCCTAATCTAGCCTAATCTAGAGAGAGAAGCTCTCAACCTAAGAGAGAGAAAACTATTCTAAAACTAAAGAATTACATGAATAAAGAATAAAGGAAACCAAAAACTATAAAAACAAAAGGAGAAAAGAAGCTTAAAATCGTAAAAGACCCAGAAACCCGCGCCCGCGGAGAAATCGGGCGCGCCCGTGGAGGGGAACGGACACCCCGATAGCTGCGCCCGCGGGGCCAAGGCCCGCGCCCTCGGGGAGCCCTCGGGACAACCGCGGGTGCTTACTGCCCAAATACGGCAGTTTTGGAGCTGCAGCAACCCCGCGCCCGCGGGTACTGTAGCCCGCGCCCGCGGCAGTTTTCCAGGGCCAACTTCAGAAGGCTGTAACTTCCGATATAAGAATTGTATGATGGCGTGCTACCTATCATTGGAAAGCTCTTCAAGTCTAGTTTCCAACACAATTTGAATCACCCTAATACGATCTATAGAACTTTAGATATGACTAAAACAATGCACAAAGGTCCTATTTGATACTTTGCAATCCTTCGTTTTCCTTTGTTTCAAACTCAAATTCAATTCCGAAAAGTGCATGTTGATCCTAGTGGGTGCTCTTTTCAATTCCCATGCATATAGCCCGCGACGTACCTACAAAACAAGACAAAGAAACGGAGAAGCAAGAGAAATAACCAAGAAATGAATAAAATGATAAGAAAGCCATTAAAAGCATGCATTTCTCTAAACTAACACAAAAACACGCAAATCGAGCATCTCTAACAACACGACATAAATAACTAAAAAGAAGTATAGAAATATAAAGAAAACATAGCCTAAAGGTGCCATAAATGGCACGGATCAAAGGTCACCTTGGCCGGAGTTATAGGCATAGTCCCCTACTTTTAACTTTCCAAACTACAGTCCCCTCTTTTTACATTTCCTGGAAGTTTAGTCCCTTGTAACATTCTTAACTCTATGTAAATATGTAAAAATTGTAAACGTGCCAGTTTGAATTTGCTGACTTGATTGGTAATTCAAACCCAAAGAGGGAAGCCCTGTTCCTATCCCTTTCTCTCTCTAACCCTCGTTCCTATCCCTTCACCGCCCCCGCCGTTCGCCGTTTTCCCAGCCACTGCTCGCCGGCGACTGGTGCGGCTCGCCTAGCCGTCGCCGGCGAGCTCAATCACTTCTTCTATCTCCCTTTTTGCCTTTTAGTTTTTGTATTTTTTTTTGGTCTGCCGGTGAAATAAGCAGAGTTCCTCTTTGGTGGTTCAGCCCTGCCTATATTTTCACTTATTGCTGTTTTTTTTTTTGTTGCTTGTGTTAGTTATTATATCCGTCTCGTGGCTCACCCGTCACTGCTCTCCGGTGCCCTTCAATTGGTAGCAATAAGATTGGGGTTTTCTTTGGTCGCTGGATTTCTCATCTTTCTGGTATGTTTGTGTAATTAAAGGGAAGCCTAGAGGTTTAGTTTTCTGCCTTCCTTTAGTGTTTTATTCTACTAGTACTTTGTTTCAGTTTTATGGCTAGTTTTGAAGAACTAAGGGGTATGTTGTGTATTTCACATGTTGA